TCTCTCAAATCGGCATGCCCCCCCCCCCCCCCCCCACCACCACCACCACCACCCACTTTCCACTTCCTGGGCGAACCTACGCCTATATTAAATATTATCCTGAACATGTTGTGATTTCTGTGAACATTATCATTATGTGAAAAATATTACAGAACCTGAAGGGAAACATAAACGGTGATTTTACGATTTAGGTTGTTGTTTGACGCATATTCATGGCATGATTTGAGCGGCTAAAACAATTTTCAGTCGCACATGAGAGCGTCAAACGTGTACTGAAATCCTCTCCGTTCCAAATCGAGTGTGGCAAAACAACCCGCGGTACCCACTCAGGTGACAAAGGGTTTGGACCGGTCCTGGGCCGGGGGGGGGGGGGGGCGTTCCCAGCGGTCTGGTGACTGCCGTCTCCCAGCGGCTTGGTGATCTCCTCCTCCCAGCGGTCTGGTGACGGCCGTCTCCCAGCGGTCTGGTGATCTCCTCCTCCCAGCGGTCTGGTGACGGCCGTCTCCCCGGCGGTCTGGTGATCTCCTCCTCCCAGCGGTCTGGTGACGGCCGTCTCCCAGCGGTGTGGTGATCTCCTCCTCCCAGCGGTCTGGTGACGGCCGTCTCCCGGCGGCCTGGTGATCTCCTCCTCCAGCGGTCTGGTGACGGCCGTCTCCCGGCGGCCTGGTGACGGCGGGCGGCCGTCGCCTGGCCTCGCCGCCGGCAGTCTCCCCGGCCGGCGAGGCCAGCTGGCGGCGGCAGCGGCGGCGGCGGCGGCGCTGCCCTTGTCAGGCCGCCGGGCTCCGGGATCTGGAGTGTCCGGCGTCACCAGGCCGCAGCGGGAGTTACCTCGAAGCACCTGGCTCTGGATCATTGCCTGCACAGTGGACAGTACACGTCATGTGCGACCACGCCTGTTGCCTACTTCAGCGAAACCGCACATTCGCGCAGAGCCGCACAGCCTCCCGGGGATATTCTACAACAGCAGCAGCTTACGTTGGAATGGGCATTACACGCAGGTCGACGTCAGGGATGGCACAGCCATTTCGGACAGAAGTGTCCGGATTAAAGCTGGGCATCCCAGTTGGATTAAAAATTAATCCATATTAATCCAGATTAATATGGATTAATAAATCCAGATGAAAGCAAGGATCCCAGTTGGAGATAGTTGAGAATTTTACCCAATGTCTGGCTTCCGAAAAGATTCAGAAACTAAATAAATGTTCAAATATTACGAGATATTTGAATGTCCATTGAAACAGGCAAACATCTGCTCCAAAATACCGTTGTAACGTACGGACCTCACTATATTTTCACTGTATTTTAAAGCTTTTACATTTAACAGAGGATTTGGCCTACAACAAGGTTTTCCCACCTGCATCGCCTTCGGTTCATGACGAGAACGAGGAGAAAGCTGTGATTCATGAAGGCACCTTCAGAAGAGCAGCACGCGTGTCGACGCCGGTGAAATCGCCGTTAGTGCAACGGGGACTGAGGTCGGCGCCGTGGCTGAGCGCCTGCGCCCGTGCCGAAGACAGCACATCGCACACGTGGGGCAGGGCTGACATCGGAAGACTGACGTCACAGGAAATGCCGCGACAATGGCGTGGTAATCTGAAATGAATTTCGCAGCCTGCTACGCAGCAGGTGCGCAGAAAATTCCGCTTGATGCATCTATCGACATTGCACAGTTGTTGTGTCTCACGCACAGGTGGGTGTGAAGCTTCCTGTGCTGGAATTGTGTTTCTCCTCGAAAACGTGCTCTCAATCTGCACTTTCCAAAATACACACCCGCATGCTGGCCAACGCAGCCAAGATAGGCTTGTTGAACATGCGACTCCTCTCCTCCATTCTACCTCCGGGTGTGATGAAGTGTCACTGACACTCGACTGGCAGCCAGGCATGACGTTGCCGAGGGCTCAGGACGCTGGCAGTCAGATGGCTTACTACACGCACACACAACGCGCACTGCTGTGCGGCTGACGAGCGGCAGTGCGGCGGCCTCTTCGCTCTCTGCCGGCATGATAAGCCGCTTACCGTCTAAGCCGGCACGTGTCGGCGCGTGCCGCCCGCGCGCGGGGGTCAGAGGGCGTGGGAGCGGCGCTGCACCTCTGTTGAGGGAAGGGGGGGGGGCTGCCTGCCGGACAGTCCGGCAGCGCCCGCCCGGAGCGCGACGCGCCTCAGGCGGCTGTCCCGGAGACGGCCAGACCGGGTCGGCAGGGGTCGCTCCATGACCTGTCCGGCGACGGCCGCCGTCGGACAGGGTCAGGGCTGGAGGTGGCGGAGGGCGCCTGCTGACCGTGTGCCGGGAAGAGGGTGGGCTGGGTTTACCACCTACCGGCGCCGCGGGACGGCCCGGGCCCGGCTCTGCCTATCCCGGCCTGGTGCTCGTCTCTTGTGTTGCGTCGCAGGTCGATATCGACCCCCCCCCCCCCTGAGAAGCAGCGCCATAGCCGTCTCCTGTGAGTCAAGCGGCGGAAGTCTCCACGGAGCAATGCGGCGGAAGGAAGCCGCGGCGCCCATCCACTGTTTTAACGGAAGCTTAACATCAACCCTGTCATATTGCATGACAACTATTGGCGTCGGGCAGAATCTGACCCGTCCGCCTGCTTGGTTATCCTATTGGCCCTGAGCAGCGGTGAAGTCTCCATGACGCGGCTTGGTGTTGCCTTCTTGTGCGCCATCGACGCCAGAGTGCGGCTCGGCTGAGACGTGGCGCTGGGCGCTCGGCGGACGGCGCTGGTGTGCGTGGTCTCCCTGCGGAGCGTCGTGCCGCTGTACTGGAGTTCAGAGGCCTCAGATCCAGAGAGGAAGGGAAAACTCAAACGCATGGCCCAGGTGCAGCAAGGCAGGGACAGAAAAGCATCAGTCGAAAGTGGGGAGTGTGCCTCGCGGCAGCGAATGACACCTGGCATTCAATTATCATCCCTTCATTTTACATATCTCATTACATGGGCGATAAACGCAGAAACATGGAGTGAGGGGCTGCGGCCCACCCACCATGATCATGTCAATGTCAGTCAGTCCTGTCAAAGCAGTCAACGTCAGTCCTGTCAAAAGATGTTGGTTTCTGAAAGAGGCTTGTTGGGCCAACTTGTTGGCGCGTTTCTACTCCCCACACCACTCGCTGCTGATGTAAATGCAGGCATACGGCTAACTGCGCAGCGAAAGGTGCCCGGCAAAAGGCCGGGTTGCAACAGTCGGGCCCATGTGACCACGACTGTCACAGCAGTGGGGCCCTGCCACCGTCTGCACGGTTCAGGTGCGGATCACCGGCCGTCGGTTTAGCCGCGGATCACCGGCCGTCGGTTTAGCCGCGGATCACCGGCCGTCGGTTTAGCCGCGGATCACCGGCCGTCGGCTTAGCCGCGGATCACCGGCCGTCGGCTTAGCCGCGGATCACCGGCCGTCGGTTTAGCCGCGGATAACCGGCCGCCGGTTTAGCCGCGGATCACCCTCCGCCACTTCAGGGGTTAGATGTTTGAAGATCGCACACGTCGCATGAATGCCTGCAGAGATTAAAGTTCGCGGACAGCCTATACCTCGTATTGAAAGCGTTGACGCGGTGAACTACTTGAGCTCGTTGAGCTGCCGTTCATGCGCAGACCTGGCGTGACCGGGGGTTTGTTCGTCGCAACGACTTGGAGCGTTTTAGGCGAAACAAGGGCTTCCATATCGTTTGTTAGGTGTCAACCAACAACCGGATGTGGCGGCCGATCGCGCCCGAACAGGCGGCCACCGGTGATGGCTCTGTTTACCGGCCCGCACCCTGGTCATGGAAGTGGGGAGGGGGGGGGGGAGGCTCCGCTGGTCCAGTTTCCCAGCCGCCGCGGGAAGTGGGGAGGACTCCCGGGACGGCCGGTTAGCGCCCGCTCCGCTGATGAAGCTGCCAATCACCGGCGCGGGGCTCGCTGCCGCCCGAGGATGGGCCTCTTCAACATCGCGGTGGGATGTTGAGGAGGCCCATCCTCAATGCGGATGGAGGGTGGGCGCAATGCGGGCAACGGGCCTCCCCGTGTTAAAGCTCAGATCTATTTAATATCCGTGTTAAATCTAGATCTATATCAGATCTATATAAATCTGTTTTTCGTGTTAAAGCTCAGATCAAATCTAAAGTTCAGATTTATTGAAAATTATTGATGCAGAATAACTCATAATGTTTCTTCTACATTGAGGCTTTTCAAGGGGTTGTTAGACTGTCGCTAAGGATGTGTTTCTGTTCCGTTTTAGAGCAAATACTGACCGTCCGTTTTCGTTCTATTTTCAGTCTAAACTGGCAAACCTGGCCCCCTCTATCCAAGCCCAGCTGTCGCCCGGCGCGTCGCTCTCCAATCAGGAGGACTTTTATAGCGACTACGACCAATCGCCGGCCTCGACACAAGGCCTGATGACCGGGATGGAGATGGCCGCCTCGCAGCAGCAGTTCCTGGCCATGGGCGACGAGCCGTCACGGAAGAAGCGTGAGTGCCCGCAGGGTTGGCGGCCCGTGCACACCGCACTACTCACGGCCACGGCACAGACCCCTCCCTCCCCGTGACGGCTGCGTGCCGACTGTTGACGCTCTGCTCTGATGTGCTGAGTCCGAGAGACCGGTGCTGGCCGGTTGCCGAGCGCGCCTGAGTGAGCTCTCCGCCACCGAGCGCCTGGGTAGAGCTCTTCGCCCCAGAGCGCCTGGGTGAGCTCTCTGTCACCGAGCCTCTGAGCCTCTGAACCTCTGCCTCTGCCTCTGCCTCTGAGCCTCTGAGCCCCTGAGCTTCTGAGATCAGAGACCGGCCGTCTGCGACAGCTGGAGCGCCTGAGTAGAGTTCTCCGCCACCGAGCCTCTGACCCTCCGAGCCTCTCCCTCTGCCCTCTGAGCCTCTGAGCCTTTGAGATCAGAGAGTGGTCGTCTGCGACAGCTGGAGCACCTAGGTAGAGCTCTCTTCCACCGAGCCTCTGAGCCTCTGAACCTCTGAGATCAAGAGAATGATCGTCTGCGACAGCTGGAGGACGGTCACAGCTGCAGACACAGCTCCAACCTCGTGTGGAAAATCCCGCAGACTCTGAGGCACACCTCGACGAGAGTCCGAGAGTGACGTCATCAGACGACGTGCCGCGAGTTGACAGTCCCCAGTGACGTCATTAGACTTGTCAGGAATGCGCCGGCCTTGGTGTTTGCCGCGGAGCGAGCGGCTGGGCGGCGGTAATAGCGCGGCGGCGGGACACCACTTCCCTATTTGTGGCCATTCCCACGAGCCGTCGGCCGGCGCCGCAGGCGGACTGCAGGGCTCGCAGTTTCTTGACGGAGTTGCCTCACACGGTCCGACAGAACCGACGGACAAAACGCTCCGGGCTGGTCGTGAGACGGCTCACATCAGACGGGCGGTTGTCGAGTGGTCTTCTATGAAAGGCTGGCTAATGATATCTCAGCGAGCTCATTTAAGAGGACAATTCGGCGAGCGGGTACAATTTGTGTTTCGTCATAGCACAAGGGCACGGTTAATGGCGTGCTATGGTTCGCCCCGTGCCCCATGGTTAAGTGGCTGCTGTGATACGCCATAGTTGGTTGTTCACATAGTTTATGTAAGCCAATGACGTTTATGTGCTGACCTGGACTGTTGGGTAAGCTCTATCGTGCCCTGGTATATTGGGGCACGTATTGAATCTGCTTATCATTATATCCAAGACAGATAAGAGACTGTCCCTGCACTTTTGCACAGCACAGTTGTAGGATCGGATGGGAAGGCGGGGGGGGGGGGGGGGAGGGAGTGGGTCCGTCACTCCATCTGGAGCGCAGAGGAGGAGACAAAACACTTTTGGAGGTAGCATAGGCCTGCGAGATGCAAGCGGACTTCGTCTCCGCTTTACGCAGTAGCGTTGCCTGTCCCGGGGGCTCGGTGGGTTAGAGGGCCTGCCTTCCGGTCCACCCGCCCTTGGCGGGGTGGGTTCGAGTCGCTTTAAGCGCTCGCTGTCTGTCCTTGACAGATTTGGTCTGTGACCGGTGGCGGCGGTCACGATAAAGGCAGATGACGTCAGAGGGCAGGGCGGCCGTGGCGAGCGTCTGGCGTTGCCTGGAATTGCGCGATCGGACGGTAGGGGTCAGGGCCCACACAGCAAGCAATGCTCAGCGTGAGCTCTGATCCCAGGAATCCATCGCTTCAAACGGTTTGGATAAAAAGTGTGTTAGAAATTGCGAGTCTGGGGCTTGCTCGAACGAATGCGCAATGAATGTCGCCTGTGCCGTCCGTCCAGCCCCAGACCGGCCCTGTCCTCGCCTCTGAGCTCCCTCTCAGTCCCGACCCCGCGCCCCAGAGTCCGGCCTGCTGTCGCCGCCGGCCTCGGTCGCGCGGAGGACCCGCTCTGCCGGCCTGCCGACCGGCCTCCGTTGACGGCCGGACCGGACGGGCCGGACGGGCGCCGGCAGGTGCACCCTCTGACGTGGCCACCGGCCGAGCTGCGGTGCGGCGACGCAGCTGACGGCGGCGTGGGCTGACACACAGGGGAGCGTGGGATGACACGCTGGGAAGCGTGGGCCGACTTACTGGGAAGCGTGGGCTGACACACTGGGAAGCGTGAACTTGCACACAGGGAAGCGCGGGCTGATACAATGGGAAGCGCGGGCTGACACACTGGGAAGCGTGAACTTGCACACAGGGAAGCGTGGGCTGATACACTGGGAAGCGTGGGCTGACACACTGGGAAGCGTGGGCTGCTCGGTCCGGTGGTGTCCCCGGCTGTAGGTCAGCCTCTCACGGGCACGTGCACCAGCCTGTGGGCTCACGGCTTGGACTTCGATAGGCCGGGCGCGGCTGTCATTTCTGGCCTACGATTCTGCTGACTTAGACACAGTACGAACAACGGTTGTGTATGTTTTGCCTCCGTATAGAGCGTCATGTTAAGAATCCGCAATCCCCTTCCGAAATTGAGCCCGTGAGCAGCGGGCCTGTGGTTCCGGCACGGCTTGAAACAACACGAACTAGCCAACGCGCTTCACTTTGCACTGGATACCAGTCTAGACCGAAAAATGCGTCCACCTATCGCAAAAAAACTCGTCCAATGCTGGTTGTTACGGTTCTTCATAATTGAACTAAATGTCATTTCTGGAAATGGTGCCAGTGATTGGGACATCAATCTCAATCCAGCGACATCCCCCACTTCGCTGGGGAACACTCGCAGGCCATAGAAATTGTGTAACGATCCGCGTTCCACCCGTGACGCGGGCTGGAAACTTAATCACTGATCATTCCGAGCTGATTGGCACTCACGCCTTTCCCATTGATGTATAGCTACCGCCAAATCAAGCCTCGGCTCATCCTGTACCCTCTCCCAGCTTCGCTGAGCGAGTTTGTCGCATCTGGTGCTGTATTATCGAGTGACAACGCTGACGATGAAATTCTGCACGGTGGAAATAGCCGGCCGGAAGGGCGTGTCGGCGGCCAGTGCGCGGCGCCCGCGGCCAAAGATGGGCAGAACAAAGGGCGCCGGCTGTGGCGCGGCAGGCCCGGCCGGCCGGCGTCCTCGGCTGCTCACCTCACCGACTCACAGACTCTCACCGGCGTCCTCGGCTGCTCACCTCACCGACTCATAAGCTCTCTCACCGGCGTCCTCGGCTGCTCACCTCACCGACTCACAGACTCTCACCGGCGTCCTCGGTTGCTCACCTTACCGACTTACATGCTCTCACCGGCGTCCTCGGCTGCTCACCTCACCGACTTACATGCTCTTACCGGCGTCCTCGGCTGCTCATCTTACCGACTTACATGCTCTCACCGGCGTCCTCGGCTGCTCATCTTACCGACTTACATACTCTCACCGGCGTCCTCGCCTGATCCCCTCACCGACTCACAGGCTCTCACCGGCGTCTTTAGCTGCTCACCTCGCAGGCTCACAAACTCTCACGGGCTCACCCTGTGTCGGAGGCGCTGTCGGAAAGCAAGGCCTTGTCCTCCACGGCTTGGGGGTGGCCGGTGAGCAGGCGGGGCGGCCGCCTCGCCGCCGGTGCCAAATCGGCGCCCCGCACTTGGGAACGCTGGTCCGCTCCGATGGGAACCCGGCAGCGCGCCGCGTGCGCGCCCCAAGGTTAAAAACGGGCCCGACCCTCCCACACTTTCACCCGTTTGCCGGCCGAGAACGCCGCGTCCGCCCCCAGGGGCGCCGTCACCGGCGGGGGGGGGGGTCTGCCTGGCGCGAAGAGGAACGGGCACCCCAGCGCCACGCGCCGGGCCGCGCCGGGAACGTCTGTGTTAAGTCCTCTGCGCGACCAGAATTAAGGCATCCAGTCGTGGTCATTCGCCGGCACGTCAGACGGTTCGTCTGTGTATCGACGCCGGCAGCGGGCGGCTTCAGCCTCCCCTGTTGACACCCCTGGCTGCGCCTCTGTGTGTTGGCACCGGCAGCGGGCGGCCTCAGCCTCCCCTGTTGACACCCCTGGCTACGCCTCTGAGTGTCGGCGCCTGCAGCGGCGTGTAGTGGCGCGATGACCAGTCGCAGGACGCGGAGGCGAGTATGGCGCACAGCCCCTCCCCCCCCCCCCCGATCACCCTCTACCCCCACCCGTTACGTCGGGAGAGCGCCCTGTTGACAGAGTCTACCGTGGCGCAGTCTGGCCGGTTGCCAGGGCCGGCCTAACAGGCAGGCTGAAGCCTGAACTCTCCAACAGAAAGTCTGAACGGAGTTTTTGGTCCTCAACATACATGCCTTTTCCCCACCAGTACTTCGCAGGTGGCCGATTTTTTGCGTCGCTTCCAAACACAGCGTGGGCTTTCACGGACAATGCACTGTTTGGAGCGCAATGGCTCGACCCGGGCTCGCACTCGATGAAACGAAAACTATGTGGTCACGTGCTCTGAGTCACGGCGACTCGCTGAAACCAAGCCTAAATTAGTCCGGTTTACGGTGGGAGCTTTTGTAAAGGTTTGCATGATCCAGCCAATTCAGCAGCTGTGTTTCCAGGATAATCCATGACGCACCGCTCCAACGACCTTGTGGATTCTGCGCCAATTCCCCGCCCTGTCTATGCTGAATCATTTGCACTTAAACACCCTAAAAGCGAAGCCAAGCGGCCACTAATGAGCTGTGAAAGCAGCAGGCTGGAATGAACAGGTTATCGAGGCTGTACCTGTGCATGGGATCGGTGATAAAATCCTTCATTCTGAACTCTCACAATCAGATGTTTCTAGCGTTCCAAACCGACCACTTTCAATAAAACTATTCCCTTCCTTCTTGTCACGCGAATTTTTCGCAGATTTCTTTAACGCACACATGTACATGCGTGCAAAGAGCTTCTTGGCCGTATGCGCTGGAATGAGGTCGGCAGGGCCGGTGGCTTCGCCACGAGTCTGGCACTGGGGAAAGGCGAGCCTTTTTGCAAAGTTTTGTGTGCTGTGCTAAATACTTAAACATCAGCAGCTCGGCCTCACCGCCTGGATCCCACGGCAGGACTCCAAAATTGGAGACAGGTGAATAATTACTTTGTAATAGT